TCTCTCTCCCCTTTCCCTTCCTCTCTTTCTAAAATCAATTTTTTAAAAAATCACTCAACTTCTTATTTTCAAGTTTCCAAGACATCTTTCAATCACAGTCATATCTGACCCACTTCTGAAATAATTCAGGAAAATGGCAGAGACCAATAAACCATTTTTGCTCTCATTTGCAAAATGGATGGTAGGCAAATGCTTCAAGGAAAGAGCCTATTAAAACAGATGGTACTTCCTCTTCAATTTTAGGATGCTGGGTAGGAGCTTCCTGCCTTCTCACAGGAGCCTGAAGAGTCACTGCAAACCCCAAATGGTCCACAGAAACTGGGAAAGCCAGCCACCTCTACCCCGAGAATACCATGTTAATTTACTGAGAAGGCACCAGGGACAAGGGAGTAGGCAGCTGGCTGGGCTGTCAGTTTCTGCATCTTGCCAAGCACCATACAAACCTTAGCCGTTTTCAAAATGCCATCGTTGGTTACTGGGTCTGTGGTGACAACAAACTGGCCGTCGTTATTTATTACAGTGTACACGGCGTCCCACGCCGGGGTTCTGGGGAGGTCGGCATCAGTCACTTTGAGCGTAGCGATGACGGCATCAGCCTCATTCTCAGGAACCTGCCCCTGGTACTGCAGAACAAGGGAGAAGAGGGGTCACATATGACATCCTGAGACACGACAGTGAAACCAGGTCTCAGGGGGTTGAGGGGATGCCCAGAGGAAGTGGCCACTCAACCAGAAGGGCCCTTCTTTCCTGGCGGCGGATCAGCTAGCACTTGGGAGTACCTAAAGCAGCTTTCCAAGGCCCTGGCTATCCGGGCCCCTCAGCAGACTCTGGCTCAGTTGTAGAGTTAAGAATTCTAAAACTCTAAACTTAATCTACAAGGTCCTGCAGGACCCACCTCATCTGGTTCGCTGCACTGTTTTGCAGTTCTTGCTATGCATCAAGCTCCCTCTTGATTCAGGGCATTTTGCCTATGCTGATCCTTCTGCCTGCAACACTTCCATCCTCCCCTGTCCCACACTTGCCAACCTCCTTTCGGGTCTTAGTATAA